TCTATTTTTTGTTGTTGTTGTTCTTTTTTTTGAGACAAAGTCTTGCTCTGTCTCCCAGGTTGGAGTGCAGTGGTGCAATTTTGGCTTACTGCAACCTCTGCCTCCCGGGTTCAAGCAATTCTCCTGCCTCAGCCTCCTGAGTAGCTGTGATTACATCATACCCATGTAATTATTGTATTTTTTAAAGTAGAGACAGGGTTTCACCATGTTGGCCAGGCTGGTCTTGAACTCCTGACCTTGTAATTCTCCTGTCTTGGCCTTCCAAAGTGCTGGGATTACAGGCATGAGTCACTGCACCTAGCCTTTTTTTTTTTTTGAGGCAGGATCTCACTGTGTTGCTTAGGCTGGAATTAGAGTGCAGTGGCACTATCATAGCTCATTGCAGCCTTGAACTCCTGGTCTCAATCCCTCCCTCAATCCCTCCCTTATAGTAGCTGAGACTATAAGCGTGCACCACCGCTCCTGGCTAATTAAAATAAAGTTTTTTTTGTAGAGTCAAGGGTCTAACTGTGTTGTCCAGGTTGATCTCAAACTCCTGGGTTCAAACTATCCTCCCTTCTCTGCCTCCCAAACTGCTGGAATTACAGACCTGAGCCACTGCACCTGGCCAAGAATCCTAGTTTTGAATTTTCAGGCTGACAGCCTCAAATATGGTGAACTACGGGAATTGCACAAAAGAATATGAGTTCAGGTATAATGCAATTGATGGTTGACTCCCCCGTCCCGAGAAGCCCTAGCTGGCTGTGGAGACCTGCCCTCGACCACTCAATCTGCCCATCATGTGGCCTCCACATTTTACACTAGTCACTTTTTGGTGTTTCTCATGTCACAGGCCTCATCTCCCATGGAGGCTCTAAATTCCTATTTTCACCAGCAAGGCATCCTTTTCCCTGTACTCCTGCTATTAAGTGATATCTTATTCTTCTCTGATGGCACCTTTCCCTGACTATTGAGGTGATGTGTCTTGTCACATGCTTATTGGTGGATTTGCTGTGTTGCAGGCAATCTTACCTGGCCGAAGTTTTCCTGCTCCCCTCCCCCTGGGGACATTCGGCCATGTCTGGAGACATTTCTAGTTGTTAGTACTAGGCTGGCATTGAAGGGATAGTGACCAGGGTGTGCCTAAACATCCTACAATGCATAGGATAGGCCCTCACAGCAAAGAATAATCAGTCCCAAAGCATCAATAGTGCTGAGGCTGACAAATCCTGCTCTGCTGGGATTGCTGGGAAGATTTATTTTGTCTTTAAAAAAATAATCAAGTGACAGATGCTCTTGATCTATGCTAGGCATTAACCTTTTATCTGTCATCTGCATTGCAAATATTTCCTGGAAATCGATCCTCTTTTAGTTTTGTTTATGGTATCGTTTGCCGCAAACACAGAAAATTAATATAGTCAACTGTGTGTTTCATTTTCATTATAGCCTCTCCATTTCCTGTCATGGTTGAGGTCTCCTCTGCCCTTATTGAGTGCATGTGGTTTTTGATTTCTACTTCTATTAAGATTTGTGTTCTTCTATTCTTTAGGCCTTGATCTACCTGCAATTGATTTTTGTGAATGTGAGTGGTGGGAGGTGAGGAACCAAACATTTTTTTTCCAGGTGGAGAGTCAGGTTTGTTTTTTTAAAAACCATATTAGATTCACTATCCTTTCCCTCTGAATGAAAATCCTATCTCTGTCATGTATCAGCTTTACAAAATACACATACACACGTATGCAATGTGCATGCACACACTTACTCACTCCTAGGCCCTACCTTCTTTTCCAGTGATGCTTGTCAATCTTAGCATAAGACCATTAGATCTTTTTTTTATTTTTTATTTTTTTATTTTTTTTAATTTTTATTTATTTATTTTTTATTGCATTTTAGGTTTTGGGGTACATGTGCAGAGCATGCAATACAGTTGCATAGGTACACACATGGCAGTGTGTTTTGTTTGGTTTCTCCCCTTCACCCACATTTGGTATTTCTCCCCTGGCAATCCCTCCCCACCTCCCCCTCCCACTGGCCCTCCCCTTTCCCCCCTATAGACCCCAGAGTTTAGTACTCCCCTCTCTGTGTCCATGTGTTCTCATTTTTCATCACCCGCCTATGAGTGAGAATATACGGTGTTTCATTTTCTGTTCTTGTGTCAGTTTGCTGAGAATGATGTTCTCCAGATTCATCCATGTCCCTATAAACGACACGAACTCATCATTTCTGATTGCTGCATAATATTCCATGGTGTATATGTGCCACATTTTCCCAATCCAGTCTATCATCGATGGGCATTTGGGTTGATTCCAGGTCTTTGCTATTGTAAACAGTGCTGCAATGAACATTCGTGTGCATGTGTCCTTGTAGTAGAACGATTTATAGTCCTTTGGATATATACCCAGTAATGGGATTGCGGGGTCAAATGGGATTTCTATTTCTAAGGCCTTGAGGAATCGCCACACCATCTTCCACAATGGTTGGACTAATTTACACTCCCACCAACAGTGTAAAAGTGTTCCTTTTTCTCCACATCCTCTCCAGCATCTGTTGTCTCCAGATTTTTTAATGATCGCCATTCTAACTGGCGTGAGATGGTATCTCAATGTGGTTTTGATTTGCATCTCTCTGATGACCAGTGATGATGAGCATTTTTTCATATGATTGTTGGCCTCATATATGTCTTCTTTCGTAAAGTGTCTGTTCATATCCTTTGCCCACTTTTGAATGGGCTTGTTTGTTTTTTTCCTGTAAATCTGTTTGAGTTCTTTGTAAATTCTGGATATCATCCCTTTGTCAGATGGGTAAACTGCAAAAATTTTTTCCCATTCTCTTGGTTGCCGATTCACTCTAGAGACTGTTTCTTTTGCTGTGCAGAAGCTGTGGAGTTTGATTAGGTCCCATTTGTCTATTTTGGCTTTTGTTGCCAATGTTTTTGGTGTTTTGTTCATGAAGTCCTTGCCTACTCCTATGTCCTGGATGGTTTTGCCTAGATTTCCTTCTAGGGTTTTTATGGTGCCGGGTCTTACGGCTTTGTCATATGCAGTACCACAGAGGCCAGTTCTCACATACATTCTCTTTCCTGCCTTATATAATTTTTTTGGCAATTTCAGACATTTATTCTTTTCTCTTATTCATTTTTAGTTTCCCAAATAGAAGTAACGGAAACCTCTCCTCACTCTTAAACTGGGCTCCAGGGCCTCGTTTTCTGTTTACTCAGCACAGTGAACGCGCCCCATGTGCTATTGTGAGAACTGTCATTTGAGTTACTGGTTATGGGGCTCCTCCCTCCTGCCAGCCTGGCTCTGGGCTGTGTCCCAGCACTGCACGGAGACTGGTACAAGCTGGTGCTCATTCGATATTGGCTGAATGAATGAACAATGAAGGATGCAGAGCTCCTTTGTTTTAAATGTTAAAATTAAGTTCATTTCTTGTGTGGCTTCGAGTATAAAGCAGCAGAGGCTGGTCTGGTCTTTGTCATTGCTAAGGTGTGGACTTGGACGGTTGCTTCTCTCTTCTGCCTCAGCCTTCTTCTTCTTCTTCTTTTTTGAGATGGACTCTTGCTCTCGTCACCCAGGCTGGAGTGCAATGGCACGATCTCAGCTCGCTGCAACCTCCGTCTCCCAGGTTCAAGCAATTCTCCTGCCTCAGCCTCCCAAGTAGCTGGGATTACAGGCATGAGGCACAATGACTGGCTAATTTTTGTATTTTTAGTAGAGACGGGGTTTCACCATGTTGGCTAGGCTGGTCTTGAACTCCCGACCTCATGATCCTCCTGCCTCAGCCTCCCAAAGTGCTGGGATTACAGGTGTGAGCCACTGCGCCAGGCCAGCTTTCTTACCTGTAGAACTGAACCCAATGGGCTGTGAGTATACCAGTGCAGTCATAAAATAGGATGTAAATTCATATATTTTTTGAGACAGGGTCTCACTCTGTCACCCAGGCTGGCATACAGTGGTGCAATCACGGCTCACTATGACCACCTCAGCTTCCCAAGTAGTTGGGACCACAAGCGTGAACCACTATGCTCGGCTAAATTTTTTCTTTTGTATTTTTGGAGAGATGGGGTTTTGCCAGATTGCTCAGGCTGGTCTCAAACTCCTGGGCTCAAGTGATCTGCCTACTTTAGCCTCCCAAAGTGCTGGGATTACAGGTGTGAGCCCCCACGCCCATTCTATTTTCAATATTTTTTGCCCACAAAGGCAAATGCATTAAGGGCTCATAAAGTCATAACTTAGCTCTGCTAAACACTACCCAAAACTTGGCATTAGGAGTGTAGCAGTCCCAGGCAGAGTGGAAATGTATGGAGAATAAGCAGTCCCTTGTCTGGCTGTTGCCAGAAATAAAAACACATGCACTGAAGGTGAGTGTAGGAGGCTCCCTTGTCCCCTGGGCTGTTCTCTGTGCAAACCTGATTCCAAGTTGGCACAATGGAGTGGAAAAGTTCAATAGCCGGGCAGCCTGGCTGTGCCTCATGGTGCCGGCATTAGTGTGGGCTGTCCACTTAACCTCTGGGGGCCTCAGGACCTCATTTGGGAAACAATAACATTAACACCCCTTTCACTGGACTGTTCAGTCATTCAAGTCATCACTCAATATGTGTTTTTTGAGCACCTACTGTGTTCCAGGCACTGTTCTAGGTGCTGAATACAAATGACAGCATGCCCCAGCACACCTAGTCCAGTGCCGGCACATAGTAGGTCCTCATTAAACACTTGTTGAATGGATGATTGGAAAACAGGTGGGGAGGAGGCACCAACAATAAATGAGTGAGTACATACGTGATATGTATATAATGATAATATGAACATATAATTGAATCCTATGTAAAATGTAATTATGAGGAAGGTAAGGTGCTAGGAAGGAAAGGAACAGGTGGCAGTGACAGAAGATGATGAGGATTGGGAGCCAGGACAGGAGAGCATCCACTCAGATGGAGTGTTCAGGGTGGGCTTCTCTGAGGAGGTGACAGGCAAGCTAGGGCCTGACAAGGGAGTGATGGGACTGGTCCTTGTTGGTTGCAGGCATCCAGCCCACACTGTGGAGCAGGGAGGACGTGCTGCACTGGCTGCACTGGGCAGAGCAGGAGTACTCTCTGCCACGCACTGCGGAGCACAGGTTCGAGATGAACGGACGTGCCCTCTGCATCCTCACCAAGGACGACTTCCGGCACCGCGCGCCCAGCTCAGGTCAGGGAAACTCACAGGCTTGCCTCGAACCCTGGTAGGCCAGGGCAGCCCAAGTGCCCCAGGGGAGCCCAGGGAGGGAGATGGAGGGGGTCTTCCTTGGGGAATCTGCTCATTTCCAGCACTGCAGATGCCCCTGTCTGCATAAAGCCATGACGTAGCCCTGCTAAACACTTCCCAGAACTTGGCGTTAGGAGCGCAGCAGTCCCAGGGAGAGTGGAAACCTAGGGAGAATAAGCAGTCACTTGTCTGGCTATTGCCAGACACCCATATGTGTTGCATGCATTTGTCTGGCTAGTGCAGATAGCCAGACAAGTGGTTTCTAGATAGAGCAGGCCTTCAGCAAGGGAGTCTATTTGCCACTTGTTTTCAGAGCCCTAGAGGCCTGTTCTCTCTCGCTTTCTCTTCCTGCTATCTGTGGCCCTTGTCTCCTCCCATCTGCTACCGCTACTGAACAAAATACCAACCAGAGAAAGATCAAATACTCATTCACACTGAGATATAAATGGCTGATAACAGCAAAAGCCTTGACTCCCAATCTGACTTTTGATTTTTATCAGAAACTAGGTCTGAGGGCAAAAGAATGAGTGTCTGATGATGGTGTTCCAGCAGCATGGACTTTGTGGGGAGGGACTGGTGGTGGGAGTGCCAATGGCCAGTGGCAGGGGCAGCAGGGCCTTCCAGGAATCTCTAGAATTGCATCTGAGTCTTGTTTGGCTTGTTTTCAGGTGACTCTTATGTTTGTGCTGATTTGGTGGCTTTTTCTTTTCTTTTTTTTTTTGAGATGGGGTTTCACTCTGTCACCCAGGCTGGCGTGCAGCGGCATGATCTTGGCCCACTGCAACCTCTGCCTCTCGGGTTGAAGCAACTCTCCTGCCTCAGCCTCTCAAGTAGCTGGGACTGCAAGTGTGTGCCACCATGCCTGGCTAATTTTTGTATTTTTAGTAGAGATGGGTTTCACGAGGTTGGCCAGGCTGGTCTCGAACTCCTGACCTCATGATCCACTTGCCTAGGCCTCCCAAAGTTCTGGGATTACAGGCATGAGCCACTGCACCTGGCCTTGGTGTCTTTTTCTTAAGAGTTCACTCATGTCTTCTGTGTGCCCTGTATTTTGGCCAAGCAGCCCCACAGTATATGCGGCAAAGAGAAGTTTTGAAATCTGCTGATTTGCTCCTTTTCTCCTAACATTCACAGCCAGTCTCACGTCACATCCCAAGTTGTTGTTTTTTTTTTTTTTGTAAATGGTGTCTTATTCTGTCACCCAGGCTGGAATGCAATGGCATGATCCTGGCTCACTGCGACCTGTGCTTCCTGGGTTCAAGTGATTCTCCTGCCTCAGCATCCTGAGTAGCTGGGATTACAGAGGGCCTCTCCACACCATCACACCCAGCGAATTTTGTATTTTTAGTAGAGATGGAGTTTCACCATGTTGGCCAGGTTGGTCTTGAACTCCTGACCTCAGGTGATCTGCCTGCCTTGGCTTCCCAAAGTTCTGGGATTACAGGTGTGAGCCACTGTGCCTGGCCAACATCCCAAGTTCCATCACCTACTTTCTCCCATGAGCCTCTGTAGCAGCTGCTGGAACTTTTGTCCATCCCTCTAAGAGCTTGGATTCAAGAGCTCTAGTGGGAGGCGGGGAGAGAGCAGGGACAGAGAGACAAGGCTTCCTGCTTCCCCACAGCCCTGATGGTCATGTGCTGAGGCAAAGCCGGGAAGCAAGTGAGCTTGGGGCTGGTTCCCTTCATGCCCTTGTTCGTCTCTCCACCTGCCTACAAACACCCTTCACCCTCTTCCTCGAGGGCCCACCGTCTACAGAGCATGCCTCTGGCTGCCTGGGATCCCCTCTTTCCGCCCTACTATCAGCACTTTAGCCCAAAGTATAAAGGGAGATATCTGGCACCACGAACAGGGCTCAATTCTGGCCTTTTTTTTTTTTGGATGGAGTCTTGGTCTGTCGCCCAGGCTGGAGTGCAGTGGTACCATCTCGGCTCTCTGAAATCTCTGCTTTCCTGGTTCAAGAGATTCTCCTGCCTCAGCCTTCCAAATAGCTGGGACTATAGGCACCCACTACCATGCCAGGCTAATTTTTTGTAATTTTAGTAGAGACGGGGTTTCACCGCGTTAGCCAGGATGGTCTCAATCTCCTGACCTCGTGATCCAACCGCCTCAGCCTCCCAGAGTGTTGGGATTATAGGTGTGAGCCACTGCACCTGGCCTTTTTTTTTTGAAACAGGGTCTTACTCTATTGCCCAGACTGGAGTTTGGTGGCATGAACACGGCTCACTTCAGCCTCAACCTCTCAACCGCCTAGGCTCTAGTGATCCTCCTGCCTCAGCCTCCCAAGTAGCTGGGACCACAGACATGAGCTGCCATGCCCAGCTGATTTAAAAAATTTTTGTAGAGACAGGGGCTATCCATGTTGCCCAGGTTAGTCTCAAACTCCTGGGGTCAAGTGATCCTCCTGCCTCAGCCTCCTAAAGTGTTGGGATTGCAGATGTGAGCCACCACATCTGGCCTTTCTTTTTTTCAATCATTTATTGAAGCAGCTACTAATTCTGTCTTTTAGGAAGAGGCTAAGACAGCTTTGCTTCTTAGAAGGCAGGGGCAGACTTTTAGTAGAGCTTGGAATCCCATGAGGCTTTGAACTGTCTCTGCCCCCAGGAACGTGAGGTACAGTTGTACAGTTTGTGCACTGTGCACAGCCCTCAGCCACGGGTGTGTACAGGGACTGAGAAGCAGCCTGGCCTTGCAAGCTGCATGTTCTGGAGGTGGATCTACCGGCAGGAAAGGATGTCTTCTAAAATTCATCCACTATGGCAGCAGCACTGGCTCTGTCCATTGCCGGCCCAGTCCCCTGTCAGCTGCAGCAGGAACCCCCTCGACATCAGCCTGAAGCTGTGACAGGACACGCCAGCCCTCACCCTGAGGCAGGTGGCTGCAGGGGAACAAAGCTGGCCCTCCCCAGTAGCCTGGTCAGCAGCCTGCCTTCCTTCCTATTCACCTCCAGGCGACGTCCTGTATGAGTTGCTGCAGTACATCAAGACCCAGAGGCAAGCCCTGGTGTGTGGGCCCTTTTTTGGAGGGGACTTCAGGCTGCAGATGCCCACCCAGCACTCTCCTGTCCTCCCAGAAGGTGAGGAAGCTCTTCTGTGGTGCTCTGAGACCCTCCCGCAAATCAGCCTCGTTGGGAGGGCAGGACATCCTTAAGGCGAAGCAATGAAAGAGGTGGCCAGCATGAACTGAGCTCCCCTCCTGCCCCTCCACCCACCTTCCCAGGGGTGCTCCTGGCAGCCTTCCTTCCGTGCAGCACCCTCCCTGCCTCTTTCCTCCCCATTTCTCTGCTCTCCTCTCGAGCAAAGAGTTGTTTGTATCATATCTCAATTTTTTTCTCTGGAGCCCACCATGGAAATGATTCTTGTCAAGGTCTCCAGAAACCTGAAAATAGGGATGTCCATGCCATGTCCACTCTCAGGCCTGACTCACTACGGCCTCTTGCAGCCTTTAACCCTGGGGGTCACCTCTCCTTCCCCCAAAACTCTTTCCTCCCTTGGCTTCCAGGACACCCCATTCACCTGGTCTCCTCTACTGCACTGGTATCTCCTCGACCTCCTCTTCTGGTTTCTACTCTTCTCCCCTGCTTCTACATGTTGGGGTACCCCAAGCCAGAGGGCCTCTTTGCTTCTCCATCTGCACACAGATGCTGGGCGATCTCATCTGATCCTGGGTCTTAAATACCATTCAGTGCCAATGATTCTAATATAGGCTTGACCTCTCCAAATTCTAGATATGTGCACCCACATTGCCTGCCTCACCCCTCCACTGGGGCGTCTAGTGGACATCTCAACCCCCACAGCCCCTAAACCAAATGCCTGATATCCTGCCCTTCCCACCGTCTTCCCCAGCCCTGCAAACCTCCACCCTTCCAATTGCCCAGATGTCATCTTAGATTTCTATCCCCAGCCCCAGCTCATCCCAACTGTCCATGCATCCTCTCTGCCCTACCTTCAAATCTATCCAGAATCCAAACTCTTCTCATTCCTCCACTGCTGCCCCGGTCCAGCCCCCATTGCCTCCAGAGAACATCCTCACTGGTCTCCTTGCTTCTGTTCCTGGCCTCCTATGATCTGTTCTCCACAGTGCAGAGAGATTCGTAAGTCAGGTCATGTCACTTGTCTGCTCAGCATCTTTCAGGGGCTCCCTTCTCACTCGGAGTCAAAATGTCATTCTTACGCTGACTCCTGCCCCTGCCCTCCCCTCCCAGCCTTCTCCCCCTTGCTCATGCTGCTCCAGCCACATGGGCCTTTTCACTCATTGGACAAGCCTGAGACACACCTACCCCAGGGCCTTTGCACCTACTGTTCCCTCTGCCTGGCATTCCCCTCTCTACTCCAGATACCCACATAGCTCACTCCTCAATCTCCTTTGAGTCTGTTCACATGCTAATGTCAGGGAGGCCTGAGCAGCCTCTCTGAAGTGGCAACCCAGATACTTTCCCAGATTTCCCAATCTGCCTTAGGGATAGATTTCCCAATCTGCCTTGGGGATAGATTTCCCAATCTGCCTTGGGGATAGATTTCCCTACCTGCCTTGGGGATAGATTTCCCTATCTGCCTTGGGGATAGATTTCCCTACCTGCCTTGGGGATAGATTTCCCTACCTGCCTTGGGGATAGATTCCCCTATCTGCCTTGGGGATAGATTTCCCTGCCTGCCTTGGGGATAGATTTCCCTGCCTGCCTTGGGGATAGATTTCCCTGCCTGCCTTGGGGATAGATTTCCCTGCCTGCCTTGGGGATAGATTTCCCTGCCTGCCTTGGGGATAGATTCCCCTGCCTGCCTTGGGGATAGATTTCCCTGCCTGCCTTGGGGATAGATTTCCCTACCTGCCTTGGGGATAGATTTCCCTGCCTGCCTTGGGGATAGATTTCCCTGCCTGCCTTGGGGATAGATTTCCCTGCCTGCCTTGGGGATAGATTTCCCTGCCTGCCTTGGGGACAGATTTCCCTACCTGCCTTGGGGATAGATTTCCCTACCTGCATTGGGGATAGATTTCCCTACCTGCCTTGGGGATAGATTTCCCTGCCTGCCTTGGGGATAGATTTCCCTGCCTGCCTTGGGGAATCCTGCCTTGGGGATAGATTCCCCTACCTGCCTTGGGGATAGATTTTCCTACCTGCCTTGGGGATAGATTCCCCTACCTGCCTTGGGGATAGATTTCCCTACCTGCCTTGGGGATAGATTTACCTACCTGCCTTGGGGATAGATTTCCCTACCTGCCTTGGGGTGCTTTGTTTTTGTTTCTGGAAACTGAAAAATAAAAAGGAAACTGTTTCCTTTTTATTTTAATTATCCATCTTCCCTGCTCTCAACTAGCATGTAAGCTCCCTGAAAGCAGGGGCTTTTGGGGCTCAGCAATATATCCTCAGGATTCTTAGAACAATGCCTGGTTCATAGCACGCTCTCAATAAATACTTGTTGGACAAATGGAGAGGAGCTGGGATACAGCACCCCCAGGCTCTAGACCTGGCTCTGCCATTGCTTGGCTTTGCAGCCAGTTTCACAGATGAGGTAACAGGTTTGACAGGTTGTTACTTGTGTGGGAGCTGGGGTTAGCACCTAGGCTGTCTGGCCCTCACCCACTGCCCCCACTGTCTCCCTGACCTTCTAACCAGGGGCTGGATGGAGGAAGAGCAGCAGGAGTGCTGCCCCACAGGGCTCCCAGGCTCGCCATTGAGAGGTTGAGTAGGGGAGGCTTAGGGCCCATCGAACCAATGTGCTCGTCTGCTTGCAGAGGTGACTGGCCCCTCTCAGATGGACCCCCAAAGGGGCCTCCTACTGCAGCCACCAGACTCAGGCCTTACCAGCTCCTTCAGCCACCCGGATGGCCCTGGCCTGGCCAGGTGGACGCTTGGCAAGGAGGAGTCCCTCAACTTACGTCACTGTGCAGAGCTCGGCTGCAGGACCCAGGGGGTCTGTTCCATCCCCGGTTTGCCACAGGCTCCCATTGACGGCAAGATCGCTGGTGAGTGGGAGGCTGTTCCCTTGGTCATGGGGAGGCGCACTGAGTCTGAGTCCCAGAATCACGAGTGATGAGGACAGGGCTATTTTGACCTGGCGATGGGAGGTCTGTGGCTTAGGGGTTGCAGGGTAGCATGACTGTCTTGTGTGCTGGCCACAATCTGCTTGCAGCAGGCAGGGATACCTGGGATCACCAAGCCTCACCCTGTCTCCCACACAGGGACAACTTATCCAGTCATATTCTGACACTCACATTAGCATGGAGTGCCACACCCACTTTTTAAAACTTTATCTATTTTAAAACAATTGAGCATTCATTATGTGCCAGGCATCTGTCTCAGGCCCTTATTTAATTCTACAACAGCCTTTTGAGATTGGTACTATTATTAGCCCATTTTACAGATATGGAAAATTAAGGCACAGAAAGGTTAAGTAACTTCTCCAAGATCACACAGCACTGGTAGAACTGATATTTGAACCCAGGCAGTCTGGCTCTAGAGCCTGAGCTCTAACCAAGTGATCCACTTCCACTCCGCATTTGTTGTTAAAGGATAACAGGGAGACAACCAGGCACACTGGCAGGCAAGCTGCCCCCTTTTCTAAGGGTGTTTTCTAGCCATGATAGTGACACTGCATTTATTCTTTTTTTTTTTTCAACTTTTATTTTAGGTTAGGGGGTACATGTACAGGTTTGTTACATGGGTAAGTTGCGTGCCACTGAGATTTGGTGTATGAATAATCCTGTCACCGAGGTACTGAGCATAGTACCTGATAGGTATTTTTTCTTTTCTCTTTTTTTGAGACGGAGTCTGGCTCTTTTGCCTAGGCTGGAGTGCAGTGGTGTGATCTCAGCTCACTGCAATCTCCACCTCCCAGGTTCAAGCGATTCTCCTGCCTCAGCCTCCAAAGTAGCTGGGATTACAGGTGCCCGCCACCACGCCTGGCTACTTTTTGTTTTATTAGTAGAGACAGGGTTTCACCATGTTGGCCACAAAATGGTCTCGAACTCTTGGCCTTAGGTGTGAGCTGCCACGCCTGGCCTGTGATAGTTTCTCCTCCCTGGCTCTCTCCCTGTCGTGGTCCCCAGTGCCCAGGGTCTATTGTTCCCATTGCTATGTCCACATCACATTTATTCTGTGAAGCCACAGAGCGGGCAGAAGCCTGGATTTGGATTGGAAATAACTAGAAGTCACTAAAAAACAATTATTAGCCCAACACATAGAAATGATGAATACTTGAGGTGATGGATGCCCTCAATACCCTGACTCTATCATTATACATTCTATGCATGCAATAAGATATCACATGCACTCCATAAGTATCTAAAGATATGTAACCATACAAAACACATCTATTCACAATTATTGGATCTTTTTTTTTAAGAGACAGGGTCTCACTCTGTCGCCCAGCCTGGAATGCAGTGATGCCACCGTAGCTCACTGCTGCCTCAAATTCCTGGACTCAAGAGATCCTCCCACTTCAGCCTCTTGCAATGACTGGATTCTTCAATTCTAATGCTTAACATTCTTCACGCGCTTACACTACGCCAGGCACTGTGCTGAGGGTTTTGTGGTCTGTTATGTTACCTAATTCTCTTACCACCCCATACAAGGAAACTGTGGCTCAGAGAAGGTTGCATTACTTGCCTGCGATGACCCAGCCGACAGGCCCAGGTCCTGGGATTTAAGATAGCGCTGCTGCTCCCAGATGCCTCTGCCCACTTGCCCCGCTAATTGCATGTTTGGTTTTCCTGAGCTTCACCATTAGGGAGCTTGAAGGGATTATAATTAATGGAAGTCCAGGGGGCTGAGTGAGTGAGCCAGGGGCATGAGGGACCTGGAGTCAGGGGCCCACGCACCTGGCCTGTGAGCCCAGCACCTGCCCTCACATGGCTCTGATGTCGGGTGGAGCTGGTCAGACTCCCCGCTCTGCCTCCCACTTAGGAGCTTGGCAACTTTAGACACTTTCGCACCTCTGAGCCCATTGCCTCACCGCTTCCTGGGGATTAAAGTAGCCACTTCCCAGACTCATGAAGACTGCCTGAGACAATGTGTGAGGAGCCCTGTTAGTGCTGTTTCTGTTAGTATCTCATTTTCACCGTTCTGCTGGCACTCCCAGGGTCCTGGCCCAGAGGCCTCCAAGAGTGCCTATCTAACCCCTGTCCTCACAGCTCCAGTAAAGCTGCGTGCACCCACTGTGCTAAATTGCAGACTGCCGGCTGCTATGGGATTACGTGTATCAGCTGCTCCTTGACACCCGATATGAGCCTTATATCAGGTGGGAAGACAAGGACGCCAAGATCTTCCGAGTTGTGGATCCAAATGGGCTCGCCAGACTGTGGGGAAATCACAAGGTGAACCTCAGCCAGCAGGCAGAGTGGTCTCAGCATAATCAGAAGAAGACAGAGTTGGGGGTCAGAGTGGACCCCTGAAACTGTGGGATAGTCCTCAGCTGATGGGGCCTTCACCAGCAGCCCCAGAAGTGTCAGGATAATTTATTTAGGGAGCTTTTGAGGGACAGGCAGTTACCTCTTACAGACGGGGAATGTCTCTGAAACCGAACAATTGTGTATTTTCTCATTGCTTAATCTCACCTTTGCTTAGCATCTCCACCTTTTGAAGCATGTTTACATGGACTGCACAGCAAATGTTGTGGGGCAGTTAGGCCACAAGAGGAAGCTGGTTTCCTGCAGGGAAATGCTATAAATCGATGATTATTATTATTGTTAATAGTTTTATTTAAAAGATCTGTTTTTTAACTTAAAGAAACTACTTATTTAAAAAGGCTGCAGTCCTTATATCACCCCTGTAAATCATGAGATGGTCTTGGTAGTTACATTTTGTAATCCTAATTCAAAAATATAATTATGAGAATATTAAACCACCTAAGATCAGCTTGCAGACACTCATTTAGGTACAGGCACGCCTCATAATGGGAGCGCTGGCCTCAGTCATCCCCAGGCCTTTCCAGCCCTGACATTAGATGCTCCTGCTAGGCCTGAGACCAGGCCGGGGCTCCACTCTATTATGTGGATTAGACCAGATAAGTTATCCTGAACTTTAGTCATCTGCACATTTCCAACCACCAGAACTGCTAAAGGGGAACTCACCTGAGGTTGCGAGTTCGAGACCAGCCTGGCCAACATGGCGAAACCCTGTGTCTCTACTAAAAATACAAAATTAGCTGGGCATGGTGGTGGGCAGCTGTAATTCCCAGCTACTCAGGAGGCTGAGGCACAAGACTCTCTTGAACCCATTGAGGTAGAAGTTGCAGCGACAGCCTCAGTAATAATAAAAACAATGGTAGCTGATCTCTCTCCCTTTTTTTTTTAAGACAGAGTTTTGTGCTGTCCCCAGGCTGGAGTGCAGTAGCACGATCTCAGCTACTGCAACTTCAAGCTCAACCGGTTCAGGAGAGTCTTGTGCCTCAGCCTCCCGAGTAGCTGGGAATTACAGCTGCCCACCACCACGCCCAGCTAATTTTGTATTTTTAGTAGAGACACAGGGTTTCGCCATGTTGGCCAGGCTGGTCTCGAACTCGCAACCTCAAGTGAGTTTGCCCTTAGCAGTGCTGGTGGCTGGAAGGGTGCAGAGGGCTAAAGTTTGGGAAGACTTATCTAGTCTAATCTTCATATAGAATAGGGAGGAAAACAGGCCCAGGGAGCAGCAGTTCCATTTAATAAGCACATACTACATGCCATACACTGTGCTAATTGCCTTCATGGATTAGCTATTAATAATTTAATCCTCAACTTGTGAGATAGGTGTTCTCTTTCTTATTATGTAGCTGAGGAAGTAGACTCAGAGAGGTCAAGAAACTTGTCCAAGGTGACACAGCTGCCAAGTGGTGGAGCTGGGGCTTAAATTGATGCCAAACCCTGGGCTCTTTGGCCCTACCTCACACTGCCTACCCCAAAAAGAGAAAGAAACGACCTGGCCAAAGTCACACAGGGTATGGCAAGGCCATCCATGCCACCCACCATGCTGTCTCTCTGATTGCATTTCCCATAAATTTAGATATTTATTTGTTACTGTTCTGACATTTGCTATTTAAAAGTAACATACAGTTCACTCCCACACTCCGTTCTCAGCCAAGTAGGTGGGAGAATCTTCCCATCATTTCTTTCTCTTTTTTTTTTTGTGATGGAGTCTCTTACTCTGTCGCCCAGGCTGGAGTGCAGTGACGTGACCTCAGCTCACTGCAACCTCTGCCTCCCGGGTTCAAGAGATTCTCCTGCCTCAGCCTCCTGAGCAGCTGGGACTATAGGCATGCACTGCCATGCCCAGCTAATTTTTGGATTTTTAGTAGAGATGGGGTTTCTCAATGTTGGCCAGGCTGGTCCCGAACTCCCGACCTCAAGTGATCTGCCCACCTTGGCTTCCCAAAGTTCTGGGATTACAGGCCTGAGCCACCGTGCCCAGCCGCATCATTTCTTCCCCAACCTTCCCCTGCCTTTTTCCTTCCAAACTCAAGTGAGCACTCATAAACCTTCACAGATCCCTGGCCTGAGAGGCTTAAGAAGCTGTCCAGTCTACCCTGCTCCCTTCCAGGTGTGGAAAGTGAGACCTGGAAGGAGTGGGACATAGAGAGCGGGGCTGACATGGGGCTGCTTTGCCTTCCAGAACCAGATGAACATGACCTACGAGAAGATGTCTCGTGCCCTGCGCCACTATTATAAGCTGAATATCATTAAGAAGGAACCAGGGCAGAAACTTCTGTTCCAGTGCGTAGTCTAGGGGCTGTGGTGAAAGGGGGAAGCAGACTGGGGTTGGGTGGGCTGTAATTCCCCTGCAGCTGGGGCAGGAGCTGATTTGCAGTTGGGACCTGAATTCTAGATTTCTAAAGACTCCGGGAAAGATGGTCCAGGACAAGGACAGCCACCTGGAGCCACTGGAGAGCCAGGAGCAGGACAGAATGGAGTTCAAGGACAAGTCCAGAAATCTCTCCATGAAGGGCAGGTGGACTCCAGGCCCCTGGTACTGATGGGCTCAGATGACTCTCCTGTGAAGGCAGCCTCCTCCTCCCAGGACAGCAGCAGGGTCTCCAGCCAGTCTCTACCCACAGGGTGACAGCCACTGCTTGGGAGGGCTGGGAGGACTCCTGTCCAGGACACTCGGTGGGAGTGTCATCTTTTCAGCCGGGTGATCCTGGGGCTAAATGGGGCACAGGGGAGTGGACTCTCCCCTGCTTCACCACTGGGAGAGGGAGCCAGGCACTGATAGAGCATTCAGCCCCACCTCAGTAAATGGAATTTACGGATGAAGGGAGTGAGGTCTCTCACTGAGCCTCCAATTTCCTCACCTGTGAAAGGGGGTGCTCCTGAAAACCCACCCTCAGGGGCTGATGCAGGAAATGGGAAAAGATGTTAGTGCTTTGAGGCAGCACTGACAGCCTCAGTAATAATAAAAATAATGGTAGCAGCTTATGTTTCTTTCTTTTCTTCCTTTTCTTTTTTGAGACAAGAGTCTTGTGCTGTCACCCAGGCTGGAGTGCAGTGGCGCGATCTCAGCTACTGCAACTTCTGCCTCAATGGGTTCAAGAGAGTCTTGTGCCTGAGCCTGCCGAGTAGCTGGGAATTACAGCTGCCTACCACCATGCCCAGCTAATTTTTATATTTCTAATAGAGACACAGGGTTTCGCCATGTTGGCCAGGTTGGTCTCGAACTGGCGCTCTCAGGTGATCCTCCTGCCTCAGCCTCCCAAAGTGCTGGGATTACAGGTGTGAGCCACTGCATCCAGCCAATGTTTCTTTAGTGTTTGCTACATGCCAGGCTTTGTGCTAAAGGCCTTATGGATATCTTACCTCATTTAATTCACTCTGCAACTTGCTCAGGCATAAAGATGAGGACACTGAGGGTGAGGCTTGCAGAGCTGGCATGTCTCTGCAGACCTGTTTTCTTGCAGCACCTCTGACTGTATTTGGGCACTTCCTAGCCAGGCCCCGGCCCCACCTCTCTGCTCTTGACATCTTCACTGAAGAGTCCATTTCACTTGGCCCAGCCCCCTCATCCTCAGTTTTCAGTGACTACTACCCAGTGAAGACTGTCACCCCTCCCCCGACACCGATGGCTTCCCATGCTCCTGTCCCTGTATCTGCCATGTGACCTTGGGCAAGGTGTTCCACCTCTCTGGGGTTTCTCGTCTGTAAAATGGGGCTGCTTCTCCTGACTTGACCTCACAGGGTCGTCGGAAAGCTTTCATAAAGCAGTATTTGTGAAATACTTAATGTTTGCCTGCTCCATGGGGAGTGCTAAACTGTGTCAGCTGAGAAGGCTCTGCAGACCAGAAGCTGCTCTGAAGCATGAAAACACCTTGGTCCAATGGGTCAGCTTCTCCCCTGTGTGCCCCAGCCCCAAGTACTGACTGGGGGCTCCTGAGTCAGAGCCTCTGCCCTTGCAAGCCCTCAGATAAAGCTCGGGGAGAAAGAGAAGGGAGTGTTTTCATTTAACCAAGAATAGAATTTCTTGGATTCATATCTTCTCAGAAGGAGGAAACTACCTCAGCCTCTTGCCCCCAGCCGGTCAGGAAATCCCCGTCTCTCTGCTGGAGTCTGCCCTGGCTTTGAGTCACTGCAGAGGAGTCCTTAATAAGGACTCTCAGACTTTGGGGCTCAAAGCTGTGATAGCCCATGAGCCGGGAAACTCCAGGCTTAGTCCTATCTGGGGCCCTCGAGGGTACCCACCGGCAGGGGGCAGGCAGGTGGCTTTGGAAAAAGGATTGATGGGAAAATGCTTCTCCCCTTTCACTTTCCCTCCGAGACTGTTCCATCTCCTTGACTTTGCTCTGGGATGAGCGCATGCGCCATGGCCTCTTTTATCACCTCCTCAACCCAGAACTGCACACATGGCCCGGGAGGGACTGTGGAAATCAGTTTATCCGGGCCCTTATTTTATAGAGCAGGGAACTGAAGCTAGAGAGAAGCGGCTTGCCCAAGATCACACCGCCCAGCCCAGCTTCCTGGCTCCTGTAGTCACCGCATTTCCTGGTTTCGCCATTGTGTTTGGGTCCAAGATGCGAAGCAGGAGTATGGATTCCTAGATCACTTCTTCCGGTTATAACAGTGGTGTTTGCCTGCTGGTGTGTTGATGGATGTCAACAGCTACATTTCACAGGCCTTAATTCAGGTGATGAATCTCACCCAGCACTGGGACAGTCAGGGCCACGGGTGGGCTACTAGGAAAGCAAGTGTGAACCACTGCCGGAGATCCCGACTCTGGAGCCCTGGGGCCAATGCCACCTTTTCTCCATCTCTCCAGGGAGATCAGGCCCTGCTCTGGGGATGGACCCCTGGGTGCCAGGAATAAAGGGGTGTTCAATACATGAATTGAATACCTGCTATGTACCAGGCACCAGTTGAAGCATTGAGTTTATATCCATTTTTCATACAATTAGAGTCCTGAAAAGTGGCAGGTCACCGAAAATGTCATATGTCAAAATGGACTTCTCACAAAAAAAAAATTTTTTTTTGAGACAGATTCTCACTCTGTTGCCAGGCACCAGGCTGGAGTGCAGTGGCACGATCTTGGCTCACTGCAACTTCTGCCTCCTGGGTTCAAGCAATTCTCCTGCCTCAGCCTCCTGAGTCGCTGGGACTACAGGCGTGCGCCACCACACCCAGCTAATTTTTGTATTTTAGTAGAGACGGGTTTTCACTATGTTGGCCAGGATGGTCTTTATCTCTTGACCTCGTGACCAGCCTCCCTCAGCCTCCCAAAATGCTGGGATTACAGGTGTGAGCCACTGTGCCAGGCCCAGATTTTTTTTTTTTGAGATGGAGTCTCGTTGTCGCCCAGGCTAGAGTGCAGTGATGTGATATCCGCTCACTGCAACCTCTGCCGCCTGGGTTCAAGTGATTCTCCTGCCTCAGCCTCCTGGTAGCTGGAACTACAGGCATGCACCACCACACCAGCTCATTTTTGTATGTTTAGTACAGACAGGGTTTCACTATGTTGGCCAGGCTGGTCTCGAACTCCTGACTTCAGGTGATCCGCCTGCCTTGGCCTCCCAATGTCCTGGGATTACAGATGTGAGCCATTGTGCCTGGCCAACAAAGAATTTTAAGAAGCAGGAGAGACATCCTCATGGTTGAAAAAGTAGCCAGGCATGTGCTGTCTTTTTGTCAGATTATATTACAATTAAAGAATTAACAATAGATAAAGACAATAGATAGAGAATTTATGAAAAAATAAGCATAATAAAAAGTTAATTAATGAAACAAATGATACAAGTCACTGTCTTGGCCCCGTTAAGCCATTTATGGTACTAACCCATGAGCATGAGCTCTGGTCTTCATCTTCTCTATTAGATGGATTCTTGCCTAGAAAAGCTTTTCCCCTCATAGGCAAGTTCCAGAGCTAGCACTTGATTTAATCCTGGCAGCTCTGCTGGGTCTGGGTCTCTTACAGTATGAAGCCTGGGCTGATGCCGGGGACCCATCTGCTTTGTCACAGAGGATCCTAGGGTGACAGTCTTTCTTGGCTTCCTCCTCCGGTCCCACAGTGTTAGTGATCCACATTTTCTTTCTTCTTTCTTTCTTTTTTTGAGACAGAGTCTTGCTTTGTCACCCAGGCTGGAGTGCAGTGGTACTATCTCGGCTCACTGCAACCTCCACCTCCTGTGTTGAAGAAATTCTCCTGCCTCAGCCTCCTGAGTAGCTGGGATTACAGGCATACGCCATCACACCTGGCTAATTTTTGTATTTTTAGTAAAGATGGGGTTTCACCATGTTGGTCAGGCTGGTCTTGAACTCCTGACCTTGTGATTCGCCTGTCTTGGCCTCCCAAAGTGCTGGGAGGTGTGAGCCACCGTGGCTGGCCAGTGGTCCACATTTACTACTCAAATGTTCTCACAGAAGGTTCACAGAGGCACTCAGAAAACACATACCTTTACAGAGCAAGGGCCTGTGCCACAGAAATGTCCAGATCTGGTGGATCTGGCAGTAAATGGGAGGATGGTGCAGGCTCAGAGGAAGCCTGTCGAATGCTGGTGCCAGGGTCACGTGCTGCTGGCGAGCTCCCTTAGTGGGACCTAGGCTCTCAAAGGACCTCAGTGGGAACTAAGCCACCAATGGAACAGTCCCAGAACTTGAGTGAGTTTAAGGCAGGTTGTTCTGCAGCCAGTATATGCAACTCAGAAACATTTTAATCATGATCTTGGTTTTTTAAAGTCCAAAATCCTTGGGTGAGTGAATTGCTCATCTGCCGGGCAGGGATGGGGAAGGAAACAAAGGGGACTAGGGCCCCAGCTTAGAAAGTTGGCATAGAAGTAGGAGAAACAGTTGTGGCTGCTGAGCAAACCCTTATAGTCCCCAGGGAGCGATGACGTGAGAAGCGTGCCCATTGGGGACAGTACTTGACAAAGTGGTGCTGGTGAATTCCGCTTGAGAGGCACCAGGGAGAGTTTCCCTCCGGGCAATCACAGGCTTCTGCTCTCTTTTTCCAACTTCCCTTTTGGAGGACTGAGGTCTGGAAGCACAGCGGGGTTGTGGGGCTTCTGATCCTTGAGGGGTCAGGGAGACTGCAGGGGAAATGGGATTCTGGGCTGTGGGATTCTCTCCACGGAAAGGCCTGCAGTTTAAAGCCACGTCCACTAGGTGGTGCAAAAGCCTCTTTCTGTGTTAGTGTGGGACCGGGCGGTGGCCGAGTGCGTAATCTATGGACAGCGAGCCTGCCTTCTCTCATGGGGAGGTGTGTACTCTCCAACTCAGGCACGCTCTGTAAGTAGATACCCAGGCCCTGCTTGAACACCTCCAGTGACGGGGAGCTCACACCTCCAGGGGACAAAGTAAGTAGCAGGGGTGGGGGTGGAATTGAGGGGCACCAAAAAGCCAACCGTCCCGTGATGGTGTCAGCCTCCTCTCCTAACCCACAGGCCACTGGTGTCTACAATTCCTATCTTCCCAGTCTCTTCACTGGGAATAACGTCTTATCTCCTCTTCTTATGATCACTTTATCTTTGAGTAGTTTGCCAGCAGAGGCCTAGATGAGACCTCTCACAGTTCTGGGACATCTGCTAGGGAGGTGTCAGAGCCTCTCTACCCTTGTAGCAGTAACAGCCGCGGGAAGCAGATTTCCCAAACACCGAATAAAGGAGGAAAGAGTTTATAATTTGGCCGGGAGCCTGGGCATAATTTGTCCAAAGCCCAGCTCATTTAACAAAGGAAGGTTCTGCCTTTATATAGGTTTATACTTTAGAAATTACACATGAAAGGGTTCCGGTTTACAGTTTTAGGACTCACATGTGAAAAGGCTTTTTTTTTTTGAGATGGAGTTTCGCTCTTTTTACCCAGGCCTGAGTGCAATGGCGCGATCTCGGCTCACTGCAACCTCCGCCTCCTGGGTTCAGGCAATTCTCCTGCCTCAGCCTCCTGAGTAGCTGGGACTACAGGCACACACCACCATGCCCAGCTAATTTTTTGTAT